ACAATGTAATTAAGAAAAAATATATTTAAACTCGTAGGTTTACTTGATATAGTCCATGAAGTTAAAAGGCCAAATGTATGGTGAGGAAGCCTAGTCTTATGTTGACTATAGTGCTTTGAGCATCTTATATACGAAGGAAGTCGTTTTGTTTAGCTTCAAAGATTGGCGTAATAGCTCTTGAACTCTTCCTATCATAGCAATTAGGTCCTTAATTTGGACGGTGGCGTTAGATGAACTACCCATCTCCTGATCCTCTATATAACCTTCTAGGATATACACGAGAATGTCGTAGATTTTATGTTTTAAAATATTTTTAATTTAAAAAATTTTAAAATAATTTTAAAATAAAAAATATTAATTTAAAATTAAATATTTTTAGAATACAAAACACCAGCGCCCTTCATCCTCGGTGCATCTCCTTCAGTTCCGCGTTGCCCGGTCTATCTGTAAAAAACAATATTACAATTGACTTTTTATTTATTTATTTACAGGGAGTCTTATGTAATTGCCTACCAAAAATCTTTGGTGGTGATTAAATATGGGGGAATGGGTCCCATGATTAATTCTTCAACCGCTAATGGGACCTACTTCACCGCCTCCCCATCTTTCCTTTCGACTCTAAAAAAGTGGACGGTGCGATCGCATGAATATTTATGGCGCGTGGCACCATGCTGCCGTGGACAGCGCTACTTTCGGCCCCAACGAGCCCCTTCATTACCAACATTCCAAACGCTAGCTTTGAACTTTTCCTTCTTTCGAACCCACTAATAAACAATCGCGTGACTAAAAGCATGACTTTGTTTTTCCGGTTTAATTTATTTTTTCAAGAAATATTAAATTAAGATTTTTTAATGAATTTTTTACTTTTTGATTATAACAACATATATTGGTCGGGTAGAAATATTTTTTAATTAAAAATATATAGAATAATTATATATAACACATAAAATACAGTACAAATAATTTACTTTGGATATATTTGGAATTATAATAACAGTAATAATTTAAAATATTTTTTATTTAAAAATATATCAAAACTGTTAAAATAATAACTTTTTATTTTGTAAAATTATTTTTTATATCAATAAATAAAAAATTATTTAAAAATAAAAAATTATTTAAAATAAAAAAATTTAAAATTTATAAAAACACAGTTTACACCATATTGTTAAATAGATCCAATAATTATAACATGGCATGCCAATGTTTTAAATGCGTTTTCAATTCATATGATTTTCTTGATAAAAAAACAAAGTTTATGCAATGAAAAATAAATCAAGAAAGAATTGTTTTTTCTTTTTTCCATTCCTTTTGAGGTAAATCCATCGCATTCTCTGTTTGACCTTCCGCATCCGTATTATTCTTTTTGCCTGTTTTTTTTTTTATATATATAAAATGTCTTAATAGCTACTACCGAGCTTAAAAACGAGCAAGTTTATTATTATTCTCAAGTCCATATTCTTATGAAAGTATGTGTGAGCTACGGCCCTCGTACAATTAAAACCAAAATATAAAAAATTCAATACGAGTTTCATTTTATAATTTTAAAATATGATAGATCAATCGGAGATCCGGTTAATTTAAAATTGAAATTGAGCCAAGTTTTAAAAAAATTAAAAACCTAAGCGACAAGGTAGATTGATCTAAAAAAATTCGGTAAAAACCACGATTATAATCTATTAACTATTTATTTTTTGAACTAAAACGATATTATAAAGTTAACTTAAATGAATCAATAACATATTAAAAACTCAATAATCAGAATAAAACTTACGATTCAAGTCTTGAATCAGGTTGATCATCGAATCAGATTTAAACACTCTGGTTTGCTATGGCTGAGATGACCTCTCCGTCTTTTTTTTTTCTTCCATCTGGCCATCCTCGCCAACATGATTCTCATTTGAGAACACAAGTTGATAGTTTCCTATAATCTCCGCATCATGCTCATTCATCACTCCATTAGCAACTGGTTTGGCCTAATTCTGTGAACAATTGTTGTTATGTGAGTGTAAAATCACCAATGTCTATCTA